AATCTATGTGGACTTGGACTAGTTTTGATGTTTTGTGGACTTTGAATAGTTTTAATCTTGTGGATTTGGAATAGTTTTGATGTTTTGTGGACTGAGTAATTTTCAATGTATGTGATTTAGAATAATGTATATTCTTTGTGACTCCTGATTAATTTATCATGTTTGTGACTGAAAATTTTTGTTGCCCCTTTTGGACTTGGATTATTGTTGATTGTTGTGGATTTGTAAAATTTATGTCCTTGTGTATTTAGAATAATTTATAATGTTTGTGTACTTGGAATAATTTATATCGTTTAGTAATTTGTGTTTATAAGTCCACAAAGGATGAACAATATTGTATATCCTTTGTGTACTTTGAATAATTTATATCTTTTGTGACTTGAAATATTGTTCATTGTTTGTGGACTTGTAAAACTTTTATTGTTTGTGACTTGTAATAATGTATTATGTTTGTGATTTGTAAAAATTATAACCCCTTTCTGTACTTAGAATAATTTATAATGTTTATGCATTTGGAATAATTGTGTATTGTTTGTGACCTGAAGTTTATAAGTCTACCAAAGCGATATAAAATTCTAAGTACACAAATATTATAAATTATTCTAAGTACACATAAAGTTTGACAAGTCCACAAAGGATGAAGAATATTCTATGTCCTTTGTGTATTTAGAATAATTTATAATGTTTGTGTATTTGGAATAATTTCTATCCTTTGAATTTAGTTTTATAAGTCCATAAAGATGAACAATATTCCAACAAAAATATAATATTCCAAGTCCACAAGGATAGAATATTTTAAAGTACAAAAAGGACATAGAAGTATTCTTTATCCTTTGTGTACTTAGAATAATTTCTATCCTTTGTGGACTTGGAATATTGTTCATTGTTTGTGTACTTGTAAATGTATTATGTTAGTGGTTGTAAACTTGATATCCTTTGTGTACTTGGAATAATTTATATCGTTTAGGTATTTCGTTTTATAAGTCTAAATGAATAATATTGTAAGTCCATGGTTATAATTATTCTAAGTCCTAAAGGATGAAGAATATTGTATATCCTTTGTTGACTTTGAATAGTTGTGTTGTTTTGTGGACTTTGAATACTGTATATTGTTTGTGGACTTGTAAAACTTTATTGTTTGTGTACTTGTAATAATGTATTATGTTTGTGGATTTGTAAAAATTTATACCCTTTGTCTACTTAGAATAATTTATAATGTTTGCGTATTTGGAATAATTGTGTATTGTTTGTGGACTTGAAGTTTTATAAGTCCACAAAGGATAAACAATATTCAAAGTCCACAAAGGACATGGAATATTCTTCATCTTTTGTGGACTTGTCAAACTTTATGTCCTTTGTGTATTTAGAATAATTTATAATGTTTGTGTATTTGGAATAATTTCTAGTGTTTGTGGACTTGTAAAATGTATGTTCTTTGTGTGCTCGAATAATTTATATGTGTATTCCAGAATAATTTATATCTTTGTGTACTCAGAATAATTTATATCTTTTATTGGACTTGGAATAATTTCTTGTTTTGTTGACTTTGAAATTATTTTCTCCTTCAATGGACTTGTAATATTTTTATTCTTTGTGGACTTGAAATAACTTTTATCTTTGTGGACTGTAAAACTTATTATCCTGTGGACTTTGAAAAATTTCTTATCCTTTGTGGACTTGGAATAATTTTTTTTATGTTTGTGGACTTATAAAAATGTTCTGTTTGGTGTTTTAAAAATGTATAATGTTTGTTGACTTAGAAAATATTTATAATATTTGTGGACTTAGAATAATTTATTATCCTTTGTTGACTTTGAAAAGTTTCTTATGTTTGTTGACTTATAAAAATTTATTATGTTTGTTGACTTTGTAGTGGATGTCTCCCCTACAAACTAACTGCATAGCAGCCCACCACCTGCCATCACATTTCAATGTGCTGCTTTCCCTAGCAACCAACCAGATGTTACCGTATCTTAGCAACGAAACTATTCACCGGCTACTTCTCGGGTTTTCCCACCATGACTCGTGGCGGCTGCTGCGGGGTATATAAGTTCTGTCTCTCCATTGAGATTCAGTCAGACCATTCTTCTTGAACTAGCAACACCACCTCCTCCGCCGCTGCCTGGCTGCCCCTCGCATCTTCTTGCCTGCCTGGCGGTCCTCGCTCCCGCCAGCGAGCATGTCCTTCTCTGAGCTTCCTCACCAACCAACTCTCATTCTGCACATTTTCCTGAACAAGCAACATCTCCTCCAGCAAGCTCCATGCTGTTAACAATTCATTCAACCAGGAATCCAGCAACAGACAACATTAATATCTCGATACCCCTACAACTTAAAATAATGTCCTATGTTTGTTGACTTAGAATAATTTTCTGTTTGTTCACTTAGAAAAAATTTATAATGTTTGTGGACTTAGAAAAAATTCTTGTTTTGACTTAGAAAAAAAATTTATATTTGTAGACTTAGAAAACTTTCTTGTTTGTTGACTTAGAAAAAAATATAATGTTTGTGGATTTATAAATTTTCTTATCCTTTGTGGACTTAGAATAATTTTTTGTTTGTTGATAGAAATATTTCTTATGTTTGTGGACTTGGAATATTTTCCATCTTTTGTGGACTTAGTTTTTTTTTTCATGTACATAGAAATATTTTCAATGTATAATAAAAGGAAGCATATAATTAAAGTTTTTATTTTTCATAAGTTAACATAGTCAGTTTTGGACTTAGAAGAAAAAAAGCATGATGTAGAAACCGGAGGAAGGGTTTCCCATTTTCATTAGTTTTCCTTTTTCTTTAGTTTCCCCTTTTCTTTGGTTTCCCATTTTCTTGGCGTCGAACGGAAAACGGGGATTTTTTTGGATTTGTTATCTTATTAAGATAGGCTCTGGCCACCCCTTCCTTTTTTTTTTTTTTTTTTTTTAAGAGTGTTTGACCTTCAAAGGTGATTTCTAAACAGAGAGTAGTTATTCCATTTAGTTAAGTTGATGTTTTAAAGTTTGTTTGCTCAGACTGTGACCTCTTGTCGATACCGACAATAATGTCAGTACCGACAATAGATTCAGTCCTCGTATAGCTCTCGACACAGATGTCGTGTCTATGGACTATTGTCGTGTGACAATGTCAGAGCTTACGTTTGCAAACAAACATCAAAACACCAACTCACCAATGAGGAATAACTACTCTCTCTCAGTCGAAAAAATCACCTTTTGAAGCTCAATAAACACTAAAACAACACCACGTGTGTTCCCGTGTACCTGCAAGTAAAGGGAGAAAGAAAAAAAAACATTACAATTCACGCAATTATGTCAACAATTCCTATTATTCAACACCTTACCTTACCTTTCCTTTCCTTTACTTTACTTTACAAACAATCTTATTACATTAACTAGACGGTCCATCCCTCGTGACAATCTTCAGGAGTGAAGTGCTTCCCCATCTGGTCCCCGAGATATGCTAGGAACTGTCAGTTGGTTGAAAATGTTCAAAGGAGGGCCACCAAACTGGTGCCTGCACTTCGGCACCTCAGCTACCCTGAGAGATTGGAGCGCCTGAACTTGCCTAGCTTATATTATAGACGGGCAAGGGGGGCCTAGTTAAGGTTTATAAGCATCTCAGGGGGCACTACTCAGTTGAGTGTCCTTACTTGGAGCTGGCAGACGCTCGCCCCACAAGGGGTCACAACTCAAGATTGAAGAAGCCGCAAGTCCAGAAAACCGTGAGGGCAAACTTTTTCGGAGTGAGGGTTGTATACTCTTGGAACAATCTACCAGAGTGTTGTGACGGCACCGAGTGTGAGCTCTTTCAAGAGAAGACTTAACCAACACTGGAGCGGGTTCAGGTACATTCAGGAACCGGTGCATGCCCAGTATTTGCCAACAGTGCGTGACAGAGACGTGACCGATCGCCCAAGCGGCTAACAAGCCGATCAGTGGCGAAGAAAATAAAAAAAAATAAAAGAAAACTAATCGAAATATCAACAATGCATTTCAATTAGATTTCAACACCTTTACTTTACTTTACTTTACTAACAATCCTATTACATTAACTAATCTCACATTTTCACACATTACCTTCTTCTTCTGATGCCTCAATCACTTGTCGTCGTCATCATCGTCGTCGTCGTCGTCGTCGTCGTCCTCCTCCTCCTCCTCCTCCTCCACCACCACCTTATGTGTGTTTCTACTTCACACATCATCTCCCACTCAAAATGCACATCAGGCCATAAAGGAAACACAAAGTTCAACTCAAATACATATATTCTATACACATAGCAATATAATACAGTACAGTATATCAATTTCTGCTCCAAACATCATCTTAATGACTATACAGTACATTCACGGGACGTCTTCTCGGCTCCATACGCCCATCACAGGGACGACGGCTATACGTTCAAAGTACCATCTTCTCCTCAGCTACACGTTCAAAGGACATCTTCTTCTCAGCTCCATACACCCCAGTCCCAGGGACGACAGCTATACGTTCACGGGACGTCTTCTCGGCTCCATACATCCATCACAGGGACGACGGCTACACGTTCACCGGACATCTTCTTCGAGGCTCCATACACCCCGGTCACAGAGACGACAGCTATACATTCAAAAGACATTGTAGGGGTATCGAGATATTAATGTAGTCTAGCACTCAGGATGGAAGTAAACTCTAATGTGGTTTTCTTGTATAATATATAAGTTATATGAGAGACAGTCTGGTACTGGAGATGTCGTCTGGTGAGGGGCTGCTCGGTAGAAGACGTTCGGTGAGTAGCGTGTTGTAGAAGGTAGATGTACAGGAGCTTCGTTAGAGAACATGTTGCCGGCCTCCTGATTCAATGAATGCTAAACAGCTAGGAGCTTGCTGGAGGAGATGTTGCTTGTTCAGGAAAATGGGCAAAATCACAGTTGGTTGGTGAGGAAGCTCAGAAGGACAGCTGGTGGCTCGCCATGCTCGCTGGCGGGAGCAAGGACCGTCAGGCAGGCGAGGAGATGCGAGGGAGCCAGGCAGCGGCGGAAGAGGTGTTGCTTGTTCGAGAACATTGGTCAGACTGAATCTCAAAGGAGAGACAGAGCTTATATATCCAGCAGCCTCTATGAGTCGTGTTGGGAAAACCCAAGAAGTCGCCGACCTTTTGGCTCGGTTGCTAGGATACGGCGGGCATTGGAATGCGGATACACTTGGTTGCTAGGGAAAACGGTAGCAGGTGATGTGAAGCTACGCAGTTTGTAAGGGAGACGTCCACTACAATGTCTTCTCCTCGGCTACACGTTCAAAGGACATCTTCTTGTCCGCTCCATACACCCGTCACAGGGACGACAGCTACACGCTCACGGGACATCTTCTTCAAGGCTCCGTACACCCCAGTCAAAGGGACGACTGCTATGGACGTCTTCTCCGCCCCAATCGCAGACCCGACGTATTCTCGGCACCGTACACCCCGGGGACAGCAGCTGTGCATTCAAACGACATCTTCTCAGTACGCCGGTCGCGTCTACGCGTCGTCCTCGACGGCGAGTTAGCCCCCTTCCTTCGATCTGAAAAAGATAAAACATTTAACAATTTCCAATTTTTGCACTCTCCCACTAAGGATGAACGTCACAATGGCCTCTTCCATCAAATATATTACCCATGCTGCAGAGTAGCCCCGTACCGCTTCTTCCCGAGTCGATGGCACTCCTTCTCGAAACTTCACCACTGGGATCTGTTCTTCGCCCCCTTCTGGGTGACGCCACACAACTCCCCCTCTGCACAATAATTCGTGACACATTACCCTCTTCGACTCGGGAACGACGACCGGTACCTGAGGATCAAAACGACATACCCACACAGGTTATTATAAACAAACCACTCCTGCAAATGGATGGCCTTTAGTCGTCTTGGAAAATGCAAATCTCGTATCCATATGGTAAGTAATACCTACAATATCCTCGGACTTGCCGGCTCTCATCGCAGAGCCTTTCCCCGTCGTCGCCGACGCCCTCTCGTGCCCCCTGAATCGACGTGCTTCTGCTGGTCCGACTCCCGCACCTCTCTTGTCTACGGCCGATGCTCCGCTGAAAAACGGGGACGGAGTTCAAGAGGGGTTACAGCGTCCAATTCTTGCCCGTCGACTACACCTCCCTCTTCTCGAGAGTGCGTTGCCTACGACGGACCCGCCTTTACCTCGGCTAGACCCGTCTATGGAGAGCACGCCTCGGAAGAGGCGCGTCACCCGCTTCCCTCGGTCAAACTCGTCCGATCTGACTACGTACTCTACATTCACCGAGGCCAGTACCGATCATTACACAGCCTCGAGTGTGTAACAACAATACCAGCCTCCTACCAACAAACTTCACCACAACTGACCAATACTAAACAAATTACACTCTTCTAAAACATGCATTCCACTATAATAAACTCAATTCAAGTCATGGACGATTACTCAAGCAATCGTTAATACTACGTCGGCTCCTTCCCGTACGTTATACTTCCTCCAACGAAACGCGCCTCTCGTTTTCCGCCTCGGCTGCTCTGCCGTACCTCCGCCCTTTCTGCGACCCGGTTACGCCGCATCCTGAAAAACAACAACGACAACACATATTTCTCACTACAACTTTCTATAAACAATCATCCACAACACATATAAAAACATTACTCTATTTCATATCCATTCTTGGCTAACATTTAAAGTGACATTTCAACTTACCATTCCTTTTATCCTCATCGGCTGCTTCGTCACATCTCTCACTCCTTTTCCAAAATCTTCTTCCTCGGCTATTGTTGGTCCTCACACTCGGTGCCATCGCAACACTGCACTTTCTTCGGCTGTGGGACGAGCATCCGCCACCTTCAAATAACGACTGGCCCCTGCACGTGCTTATACACCTCTTCTACCTCCAGCAGTAGTAGTAGTAGTAGCCCTAGTCTCTACCACAAAACATAACTCCAAACATATTTTCAAACAACTAATCATAATCCACTTAGGCAATTCTCTATTACGGCAACTCTTGCACAAATGTCGTCCTACGCTCCGTGGCAACATCACTTACTTTTCACACGGCCCCAAGTATTACCTCAATTTACTCTCCCCTTGCCCATGTCAAGTCAAACCCACACACTTTTACCAACCCAAATGCAATCAATAGTCTCATAGCCCTCAACACACAATCCCTACCATAACTACACTATCAATCTAAAGGTCTCATACAAGCTTCCTACCTATTTCCCACGGACTCGTAACAACACATTTCATCCACAAAAAACTTCACCAACAACTCTTCCAATTTCACTATTACGTGACAAAATTTAACATCACCATATGACGAGTCGACGCGCTCCTCTCAACGAGTCGGCCATATTCCGCCACCACCAACATGAAAAAAAATAAAAAAACACATCAATGTTGCAAATACACTACTCTCCAAATTATTAAACAGTATAAATGCACATTCAATTACCCAGTCTTCCTCCAAGCACCACAATCCTTACACCAAAACTGGCTCCAAAATTCAGTCCAGGGTTAATCTCCCTCTCCAACACCAATCACTTCTTATGGACGCCAACAACTCCTCCTGTACGATATATACAAAACAATTAGTACAAACACAAAACTTACACATTATTAACAACAACCCAAGACGCTCTTCATTTTCATATCACTTCAACCGGTGTACATTACCTTTCAGGAGATGGTGCGCGGGCCGCATGGTTACAACACTTGGCTCCTTTCAAACACCAAAGGCTTCTCCGCCATCTCTGGATGGCTACCACACTTCCACTTGGTTAGTCTGCGCCATACAGGTAATAATAGCCTTTCTGCACTTGCCGCCACATCTCAAGCCTGAAAAGTAACAACTCCTTCACACAACCACCATATTACAACACCTTTACTTTCGCCTCCACACGTCCCTCCATCCTCGAAACTCTTCGGCCACTTCATCTTTCGACACCTCCTCAAACTGCAAATATAACTCATTTTACTACACACAACAAACTCTATATTCTTATTCATATACCAATTTCACAAAGAGGCAACTCGTGCACAAATGTGCTCCTACGCTCCATGGCAACCTCACTTACTTCTCAAACATCCCCAACTATGTATCTTTCCCCACCTCATTTTACTCACCCCTTACCGGTCTCAAATATAACGACCACTCTAATCTCTGACCAAGCAACGGTCCCTACCATCAATACAATATCAATGTATGCTTCCTAGCAATTTCCCCCACACATATTACCATGGGGTCGTAACAACACATTTCATCCACAAAAAGCTTCACCTACAACTATTCCAATAATACATAACAAAATTTAACATCACCGTATGACGAGTCGACACGATCCTCTCAACAAGTCGGCTATATTCCTCCGCCGCCGCCGCCACCAACATGAAAAAAAACATCAATGTTACAAATACTCCACTCTTCAAATTATTACACAGTATATATACACATTCAATTACCCAGTCTTCTTCCAGGCACTAAAATACTTACACCAAAGCTGCCTCCAAAATTCAGTTCAGCGTTAATCTCCCTCTCCATTATCCAACACCAACCACGTCTTATGGACAGCAACACCGCCTGTAAAATATATACAAAACAATTACGACAAACAAAAGTTACACAATACTACAGTAATACCAACCCTACCAACAACACAACTCCACCAAAAACCGGTGTACATTACCTTTCAGGAGATGGTGCACGGGCCGCATGGTTACAACACAGGCCTCCTATCCAACATCAAACGCTTCTCCCCCACCTCTGAAACTACCATACTTCCAATTGCTTCGTCTGCGCCATACAGGTAATAATAGCCTTTATGCACTTGCCGCCACATCTCCTCAAGCCTGAAAAGTAACAAGTCCTACACACAACCACCATATTACAACACCTTTACTTTCGCCTCCACACGTCCCACCATCCTCGAAACTCTTCGCCCACCTCATCTTTCGACACCGACTCAAAGTGCAAACATAACTCATTTTACTACGCACAACAAACTCTATATTCTTATTCATATACCAATTTCACAAAGAGGCAACTCGTGCACAAATGTGCTCCTACGCTCCAGGGCAACCTCACTTACTTTTCAAACATTCCCAACTATGTACCTTGCCCGTCTCAAATATAACCCCCACTCTAATCTCTGACCAAGCAACGGTCCCTACCATAATTACAATATTAATGTATACTGCTCATGAAATTAGTGGAAACGTCTATTCAACCTTCCTACCTATTTCCGCCACACTTGTTACCATGGAGTCGTAACAACACATTTCATCAACAAAAAGCTTCACCTAAAACTCTTCAAATTTCACTAATACATGACAAAATTCAACATCACCGTATGACGAGTCGACACGCTCCTCTCAACAAGTCGGCTATATTCCTCCGCCGCCGCCACCAACATGAAAAAAAACATCAATGTTACAAATACGCCACTCTTCAAATTATTACACAGTATATATACACATTCAATTACCCAGTCTTCTTCCAGGCACTAAAATACTTACACCAAAGCTCCCTCCAAAACTCAGTCCAGCGTTAATCTCCCTCTCCAACACCAACCACGTCTTATGGACGGCAACACCTCCTGTAAAATATATACAAAACAATTACTACAAACAAAACTTACTATCAATAACAAAGCTTACACAATATCACAGTAATAACAACCCTACCGACAAAACAAGTCCACTTTCAACAGGTGTACATTACCTTGCAGGAGATGGTGCACGGGCCGCATCGTTACAACACTGGCCTCCTTTCAAACATCAAACGCTTCTCCACCACCTCCAGATGACTACCCTACTTCCACTTGCTTAGTCTGCGCCATACAGGTAATAATAGCCTTTCTGCACTTGCCGCCACATCTCCTCAAGCCTGAAAAGTAACAAGTCCTTCACACAACCACCATATTACAACACATTTACTTTCGCGTCCCTACATTTTCATCAGCGACGAGGCAAACCTCACATTAGCGACAATATACACTACCGTGTCCACACCTTTACTCTACAACAACTTTCACTTTATGTTACTTCAAACCTATATGTCATAAACTCTCAACTACAAAATCAATACTTACCCACCAGTAATCCTCCAAACTCTTCGGCCACCTCATCTTTCCACACCTCCTCAAACTGCAAACATAACTTATTTTAGTATCACACAACAAACTCTATACCAATTTCACAAACAGGCAACTCTTGCACAAATGTGCTCCTACGCTCCGGTCGCGGCTACGCGTCGTCCTCGACGGCGAGTTAGCCCCCTTCCTTCGATCTGAAAAAGAGAAAACATTTAACAATTTCCAATTTTGCACTCTCCCACTAAGGATGAACGTCACAATGGCCTCTTCCGTCAAATATATTACCCGTGATGTGGAGTAACCCCGTGCCGCTTCTTCCCGAGTCGATGGCACTCCTTCTCGAGGCTTCGCCGCTGGAATCTATTCTTCGCCCACTTCTGGGTGATGCGACACAACCCCCCTCTGCACAATAATTCGTGACACATTACCCGCTTCTGCTCGGGAGTGACGACCGGTACCTGATGATCAAAACGACATACCCACACAGGTTATTATAAACAAACCGCTCCTGCAAATGGATGGGCTTTAGTCGTCTTGGAAAAGGCAAATCTCGTATCCATACGGTAAGTAATACCTACGATATCCTCGGACTTGCCGGCTCTCTTCGCAGAGCCTTTCCCCGTCGTCGCCGACGCCCTCTCGTGCCCCCTGCGTCGACGTGCTTCTGCTGGTCCGACTCCCACACCTCTCGTGTCTGCGGCCGATGCTCCGCTGAAAAACGGGGACGGAGTTCAAGAGGGGTTACGGCGTCCAATTCTTGCCCGTCGACGACGCCTCCCTCTTCTCGAGAGTGCGTTGCCTACGACGGACCCGCCTTTATCTCGGCTAGACCCGTCTACGGAGAGCGCGCCTCTTCCGAGGCGCGTCACCCGCTTCCCTCGGTCAAACTCGTCCGATCTAACTACATACTCTACATTCACCGAGGCCAGTACCGATCATTACACAGCCTCGAGTGTGTAACAACAATACCAGCCTCCTACCAACAAACTTCACCACAACTGATCAATACTAAACAAATTTCACCCTTCTAAAACATGCATTCCACCATAATAAACTCAATTCAAGTCACTTGGACAATTACTCACGCAATCGTTAATAGTACGTCGGCTCCTTCCCATACGTTATACTTCGTCCGACGAAACGCGCCTCTCGTTTTCCACCTCGGCTGCTCTGCCGTACCTCCGCCCTTTCTGCGACCAGGTTACGCCGCATCCTGAAAAAAAACAACAACAACACTTATTTCTCACTACAACTTTCTATAAACAATCATCCACAACACATATAAAAACATTACTCTATTTCATATCCATTCTTGACTAACATTTAAAGTGGCATTTCAACTTACCATTCCTTTTATCCTCATCGGCTGCTTCGTCACGTCTCTCACTCCTTTTCCAAAATCTTCTTCCTCGGCTCCTCCATTGTTGGTCCTCACACTCGGTGCAATCGCAACACTCTGCGCTTTCTTTAACTGTCGGACGAGCATCCGCCACCTTCAAATAACGACTGGCCCCCACACGTGCTTATACACCTCATCTACCTCCAACAGTAGTAGTAGTCCTAGTCTCTACCACAAAACATACCTGCAAACATATTTTCAAACAACAACTAATCTCAATCCACTTAGGCAATTCTCTATTACGGCAACTCTTGCACAAATGTCGTCCTACGCTCCGTGGCAAAATCACTTACTTTTCACACGGCCCCAAGTATTACCTCAATTTACTCTCCCCTTGCCCATGTCAAGTCAAAACCACACACTTTTCCCAACCCAAATGCAATCAATAGTCTCATAGCCCTCAATAAACAATCCCTACCATAACTACACTATCAATGTAAAGCTCTCATACAGACTTCCTACCCATTTTCCACAGACTCGTAACAACACATTTCATCCACAAAAAACTTCACCTACAACTCTTCCAATTTCACTAATACGTGACAAAATTTAACATCACCGTATGACGAGTCGACACACTCCTCTCAACGAGTCGCCCATATTCCGCCACCACCAACATAAAAAAAAAATCAATGTTGCAACCTCACTTATTTCTCAAACATCCCCAACTATGTACCTTTCCCCACCTCATTTTACTCACCCCTTACCCGTCTCAAATATAACCGCCACTCTAATCTCTGACCAAGCAACAGTCCCTACCATAATTACAATAGCAATGTATGCTTCCTACCCATTTCCGCCACACTTCTTACCATGGGATCTTAACAACACATTTCATCAACAACACCAAACTTCACCTACAACTCTTCCAATAATACGTAACAAAATTTAACATCACCGTATGACGAATCGACCCGACCTGCTCCTCTCAACAAGTCGGCCATATTCCGCCGCCACCAACATGAAAAAAAACATCAATGTTACAAATACTATACTCTTTAAATTATTACACAGTATAAATACACATTCAATTACAGAGTCTTCTTTCAGGCACTACAATACTTACACCAAAACTGCCTCCAAAACTCAGTCCAGCGTTAATCTCCATCTCCAACACCAACCACGTCTTATGGACGGCAACACCTCCTGTAAAATATATACAAAACAATTACTACAAACAAAACTTACTATCAATAACAAAGCTTACACAATATCACAGTAATAACAACCCTACCGACAAAACAAGTCCACTTTCAACAGGTGTACATTACCTTTTAAGAGATGGTGCATGGGCCGCATCGTTACAACACTGGCCTCCTTTCAAACATCAAACGCTTCTCCCCCACCTCTGGATGGCTACCATACTTCCAATTGCTTAGTCTGCACCATACAGGTAATAATAGCCTTTATGCACTTGCCACCACATCTCCTCAAGCCTGAAAAGTAACAAGTCCTTCACACAACCACCATATTACAACACGTTTACTTTCGCGTCCCTACATTTTCATCAACGACGAGGCAAACCTCACATTAGCGACAATATACACTACCGTGTCCACACCTTTACTCTACAACAACTTTCACTTTATGTTACTTCTAACCTATATGTCAAACTCTCAACTACAAAATCAATACTTACCCACCAGTAATCCTCCAAACTCTTCGGCCACCTCATCTTTCGACACCTCCTCAAACTGCAAACTGGAACTCCTTCTTCTCGAGGCTTCGCCACGGGTATCCGTTCTTCGCCCGCTTCTGGGGGACGCCACAAAACTCCCCCTCTGCACAATAATTCGTGTCGCATTACCCACTTCCGCTCGGGAGCGACGACCGGGTCCCTACGACCGGTACCTGAGGATCAAAACGACATACCCACACAGGTTATTATAAACAAACCGCTCCTGCAAATGGATGGCCTTTAGTCGTCTTGGAAAAGGCAAATCTCGTATCCATACAGTAAATAATACCTACGATATCCTCGGACTTGCCAGCTCTCTTCGCAGAACCTTTCCCCGTCGTCGCCGACGCCCTCTCGTGCCCGCTGCGTCGACGGGCTTCTGCCGGTCCGACTCCCGTGCCTCTCGTCTCTACGGCCGATGCTCCGCTGAAAAAAAGGGTGACAGAGTTCAAGAGGGGTTAGAGCGTCCAATTCTTGCCCGTCGACGACGCCTCCCTCTTATCGAGAGTGCGTCGCCTACGACAGACCCGCCTTTACCTCGGCTACACCCGTCCCCCTCCGTCACTTTCTACCCTCCGCCGCCGACTCTTCACCCGCTTCCCTCGGTCGAACTCGTCCCATCTGACTACGTACTCTACATTCACCGAGGCTAGTACCGATCATTACACAGCCTCGAGTGTGTAACAACAATACCAGCCTCCTACCAACAAACTTCACCACAACTGACCAATACTAAACAAATTACACTCTTCTAAAACATGCATTCCACTATTATAAACCCAATTCAAGTCACTTGGACAATTACTCACGCAATCGTTCGTACTACGTCGGCTCCTTCCCGTACGTTATACTTCGTCCGACGAAACGCGCCTCTCGTTTTCCGCCTCGGCTGCTCTGCCGTACCTCCGCCCTTTCTGCGACCCGGTTACGCCGCATCCTGAAAAAAAACAACAACAACACTTATTTCTCACTACAACTTTCTATAAACAATCATCCACAACACATATAAAAACATTACTCCATTTCATATCCATTCTTGACTAACATTAAAAATGGCATTTCAACTTACCATTCCTTTTATCCTCATTGGCTTCTTCGTCACGTCTCTCACTCCTTTTCCAAAATCTTCTTCCTCGGCTCCTCTATTGTTGGTCCTCACACTCTGCGCTTTCTTCGACTGTCGGACGAGCATCCGCCACCTTCAAATAACGACTGGCTCCCGCACGTGCTTATACACCTTATCTACCTCCAGCAGCAATAGTAGTAGTAGTCCAAGTCTCTACCACAAAACATACCTGCAAACATATTTTCAAACAACAACTAATCATAATCCACTTAGGCAATTCTCTATTACGGCAACTCTTGCATAAATGTCGTCCTACGCTCCGTGGCAACATCACTTACTTTTCACACGGCCCCAAGTATTACCTCAATTTACTCTACCCTTGCCCATGTCAAGTCAAAACCACACACTTTTCCCAAACCAAATGCAATCAATAGTCTCATAGCCCTCAACACACAATCCCTACCATAACTACACTATCAATGTAAAGCTCTCATACAGGCTTCCTACCCATTTTCCACGGACTCGTAACAACACATTTCATCCACAAAAAACTTCACCTACAACTATTCCAATTTCACTAATACGTGACAAAATTTAACATCACCGTATGACGAGTCGACACACTCCTCTCAACGAATCGCCCATATTCCGCCGCCACCAACATGAAAAAAAAAAACATCAATGTTACAAATACCATACTCTACAAATTATTACACAGTATATATACACATTCAATAACCCAGTCTTCTTTCAGGCACTACAATACTTACACCAAAGCTGCCTCCAAAACTCAGACCAGCGTTAATCTCCCTCTCCAACACCAACCACGTCTTATGGACGGCAACACCTCCTGTAAAATATATACAAAACAATTACTACAAACAAAACTTACTATCAATAACAAAGCTTACACAATATCACAGTAATAACAACCCTACCGACAAAACAAGTCCACCTTCAACCGGTGTACATTACCTTTCAGGAGATGGTGCATGGGCCGCATCGTTACAACACAGGCCTCCTTTCCAACATCAAACACTTCTCCCCCACCTCTGGATGGCTACCATACTTCCACTTGCTTAGTCTGCGCCATACAGGTAATAATAGCCTTTCTGCACTTGCCACCACATCTCCTCAAGCCTGAAAAGTAACAAGTCCTTCACACAACCACCATATTACAACACGTTTATTTTTGCGTCCCTACATTTTCATCAGCGACGAGGCAAACCTCACATTAGCGACAATATAGACTACCGTGTCCACACCTTTACTCTACAACAACTTTCACTTTATGTTACTTCAAACCTATATGTCATAAACTCTCAACTACAAAATTAATACTTACCCACCAGTAATCCTCCAAACTCTTCGGCCACCTCATCTTTCGACACCTCCTCAAACTGCAAACTGGCACTCCTTCTCGAGGCTTCGCCGCGGGGATCAGTTCTTCGCCCGCTTCTGGGGGACGCCACAAAACTCCCCCTCTGCACAATAATTCGTGTCGCATTACCCACTTCCGCTCGGGAGCGACGACCGGTACCCGAGGATCAAAACGACATACCCACACAGGTTATTATAAACAAACCGCTCCTGCAAATGGATGGCCTTTAGTCGTCTTGGAAAATGCAAATCTCGTATCCATACAGTAAGTAATACCTACGATATCCTCGGACTTGCCAGCTCTCTTCGCAGAGCCTTTCCCCGTCGTCGCCAACGCCCTCTCGTGCCCGCTGCGTCAACGTGCTTCTGCCGGTCCGACTCCCGTGCCTCTCGTCTCTACGGCCGATGCTCCGCTGAAAAAAAGGGTGACAGAGTTCAAGAGGGGTTAGAGCGTCCAATTCTTGCCCGTCGACGACGCCTCCCTCTTATCGAGAGTGCGTCGCCTACGACGGACCCGCCTTTACCTTGGCTACACCCGTCCCCCTCCGTCAGTTTCTACCCTCCGCCGCCGACTCTTCACCCGCTTCCCTCGGTCGAACTCGTCCCATCTGACTACGTACTCTACATTCACCGAGGCTAGTACCGATCATTACACAGCCTCGAGTGTGTAACAACAATACCACCTCCTACCAACAAACTTCACCACAACTGACCAATACTAAACAAATTACACTCTTCTAAAACATGCATTCCACTATTATAAACTCAATTCAAGTTACTTGGACAATTACTCACGCAATCGTTCGTACTACATCGGCTCCTTCCCGTACGTTATACTTCGTCCGACGAAACGCGCCTCTCGTTTTCCGCCTCGGCTGCTCTGCCGTACCTCCGCCCTTTCAGCGACCCGGTTACGCCGCATCCTGAAAAACAACAACAACACTTATTTCTCACTACAACTTTCTATAAACAATCATCCACAACACATATAAAAACATTACTTTATTTCATATCCATTCTTGACAAACATTTAAAGTGGCATTTCAACTTACCATTCCTTTTATCCTCATCGGCTGCTTCGTCACGTCTCTCACTCCTTTTCCAAAATCTTCTTCCTCGGCTCCTCCATTGTTGGTCCTCACACTCGGTGCAATCACAACACTGCGCTTTCTTCGACTGTCGGACGAGCATCCGCCACCTTCAAATAACGACTGGACCCCGCACGTGCTTATACACCTTATCTACCTCCAGCAGTAGTAGTAGTAGTAGTCCTAGTCCCTACCACAAAACATACCTGCAAACATATTTTCAGACAAAAACTAGTCATAATCCACTTAGGCAATTCTCTATTACGGCAACTCTTGCACAAATGTCGTCCTACGCTCCGTGGCAACATCACTTACTTTTCACACGGCCCCAAGTATTACCTCAATTTACTCTCCCCTTGCCCATGTCAAGTCAAAACCACACACTTTTGCCAACCCAAATGCAATCAATAGTCTCATAGCCCTCAACACACAATCCCTACCATAACTACGCTATCAATGTAAACCTCTCATACAGACTTCCTACCTATTTCCCACGGACTCGTAACAACACATTTCATCGACAAAAACTTCACCTACAACTCTTCCAATTTCACTAATACGTGACAAAATTTAACATCACCGTATGACGAGTCGACGCGCTCCTCTCAACGAGTCGGCCATATTCCGCCACCACCACCATGAAAAAACAAAAAAAACACATCAATGTTGCAAATACTCTACTCTTCAAATTATTACACAATATAAATGCAATTTCAATTACCCAGTCTTCCTCCACGCACCACAATACTTACACCAAAACTGGCTCCAAAATTCAGTCCAGCGTTAATCTCCCTCTCCACCACCAATCACATCTTATGGACGCCAACAACTCCTCCTGTACGATATATACAAAACAATTATTACAAACACAAAACTTACACGTTATTAACAACAACCCAAGACGCTCTTCATTTTCATATCACTTCCACCACCGTACATTACCGACAACGAGATACTGCACAAGGCGCCTCGCGATGGCTACCACACTTCCACTTGCTTAGTCTGCACCATACAGGTAATAATAGCCTTTCTGCACTTGCCGCCACATCTCAAGCCTGAAAAATAACAACTCCTTCACACAACCACCATATTACAACACGTTTACTTTCGCCTCCACACGTCCCTCCATCCTCAAAACTCTTCGGCCACCTCATCTTTCGACACCTCCTCAAACTGCAAACATAACTCATTTTACTACACACAACAAACTCTATCTTCTTATTCATATACCAATTTCACAAAGTGGCAACTCTTGCACAAATGTGCTCCTACGCTCCATGGCAACCTCACTTACTTCTCAAACATCCCAACTATGTACCTTTCCCCACCTCATTTTACTCACCCCTTACCCGTCTCAAATATAACGACCACTCTAATCTCTGACCAAGCAACGGTCCCTACCATCAATACAATATCAATGTATGCTTCCTACCTATTTCCCCCACACATGTTACCATGGGGTCGTAACAACACATTTCATCCACAAAAAGCTTCACCTACAACTATTCCAATAATACATAACAAAATTTAACATCACCGTATGACGTGTCGACACGATCCTCTCAACAAGTCGGCTATATTCCTCCGCCGCCGCCACCAACATGAAAAAAAACATCAATGTTACAAATACTCCACTCTTCAAATTATTACACAGTATATATACACATTCAATTACCCAGTCTTCTTCCAGGCACTAAAATACTTACACCAAAGCTGCCTCCAAAACTCAGTCCAGCGTTAATCTCCCTCTCCAACACCAACCACGTCTTATGGACGGCAACACCTCCTGTAAAATATATACAAAACAATTACTACAAACAAAACTTAATATCAATAACAAAACTTACACAATGCCACAGTAATAACAACCCTACCGACAACACAAGTCCACCTTCAACCGGTGTACATTACCTTGCAGGAGATGGTGCACGGGCCGCATCGTTACAACACTGGCCTCCTTTCAAACATCAAACGCTTCTCCCCCACCTCTGGATGGCTACCATACTTCCACTTGCTTAGTCTGCGCCATACAGGTAATAATAGCCTTTCTGCACTTGCCGCCACATCTCCTCAAGCCTGAAAAGTAACAAGTCCTTCACACAACCACCATATTACAACACGTTTTCTTTCGCGTCCCTACATTTTCATCAGCGACGAGGCAAACCTCACATTAGTTACAATATAGACTACCGTGTCCACACCTTTACTCTACAACAACTTTCACTTTATGGTACTTCCAACCTGTATGTCATAAACTCTCAACTACAAAATCAGTACTTACCCACCAGTAATCCTCCAAACTCTTCGGCCACCTCATCTTTCGACACCTCCTCAAACTGCAAACATAACTTATTTTTATATCACAACAAACTCTATACCAATTTCACAAACAGGCAACTCTTGCACAAATGTGCTCCTACGCTCCATGTCAACCTCACTTACTTTTCAAACATTCCCAACTATATACCTTGCCCGTCTCAAATATAACCCCCACTCTAATCTCTGACCAAGCAACGGTCCCTACCATAATTACAATATTAATGTATACTGCTCATGAAATTAGTGGAAACGTCTCATACAAGCTTCCTACTTATTTCCGCCACACTTGTTACCATGGAGTCGTAACAACACATTTCATCAACAAAAAGCTTCACCTAAAACTCTTCAAATTTCACTAATACATGACAAAATTCAACATCACCGTATGACGAGTCGACACGCTCCTCTCAACAAGTCGCCCATATTCCGCCGCCGCCACCAACATGAAAAAAAACATCAATGTTACAAATACTCCACTCTTCAAATTATTACACAGTATATATACACATTCAATTACCCAATGTTCTTCCAGGCACTAAAATACTTACACCAAAGCCGCCTCCAAAACTCAGTCCAGCGTTAATGTCCCTCTCCAACACCAACCACGTCTTATGGACGGCAACACCTCCTATAAAATATATACAAAACAATTACTACAAACAAAACTTAATATCAATTACAAAGCTTACACAATACCACAGTAATAACAACCCTACCGACAACACAAGTCCACCTTCAACCGGTGTACATTACCTTGCAGGAGATGGTGCACGGGCCGCATCGTTACAACACTGGCCTCCTTTCAAACATCAAACGCTTCTCCCCCACCTCTGGATGACTACCCTACTTCCACTTGCTTAGTCTGCGCCATACAGGTAATAATAGCCTTTCTGCACTTGCCGCCACATCTCCTCAAGCCTGAAAAGTAACAAGTCCTACACACAACCACCATATTACAACACGTTTACTTTCGCGTCCCTACATTTTCATCAGCGACGAGGCAAACCTCACATTAGTTACAATATAGACTACCGTGTCCACACCTTTACTCTACAACAAATTTCACTTTATGTTACTTCAAACCTGTATGTCATAAACTCTCAACTACAAAATCAATACTTACCCACCAATAATCCTCGAAACTCTTCGGCCACCTCATCTTTCCACACCTCCTCAAACTGCAAACATAACTTATTTTAACATCACAACAAACTCTATACCAATTTCACAAACAGGCAACTCTTGCACAAATGTGCTCCTACACTCCATGGCAACCTCACTTACTTTTCAAACATTCCCAACTATATACCTTGCCCATCTCAAATATAACCCCCACTCTAATCTCTGACCAAGCAACGGTCCCTACCATAATTACAATATCAATGTATACTGCTCCTGAAATTAGTGGAAACGTCTCATACAAGCTTCCTACTTATTTCCGCCACACTTGTTACCATGGAGTCGTAACAACACATTTCATCAACAAAAAGCTTCACCTACAACTCTTCCAACAATACATAACAAAATTTAACATCACCGTATGACGAGTCGACACGCTCCTCTCAACAAGTCGGCCATATTCCGCCGCCACCAACATGAAAAAAACAAAAACATCAATGTTACAAATACTCCACTCTTCAAATTATTACACAGTATATATACACATTCAATGACCAAGTCTCCTTCCAGGCACTAAAATACTTACACCAAAACTGGCTCCAAAATTCAGTCCAGCGTTAATGTCCCTCTCCAACACCAACCACGTCTTATGGACGGCAACACCTCCTATAAAATATATACAAAACAATTACTACAAACAAAACTTACTATCAATTACAAAGCTTACACAATACCACAGTAATAACAACCCTACCGACAAAACAAGTCCACCTTCAACCGGTGTACATTACCTTGCAGGAGATGGTGCACGGGCCGCATCGTTACAACACTGGCCTCCTTTCAAACATCAAACGCTTCTCCCCCACCTCTGGATGGCTACCATACTTCCACTTGCTTAATCAACACAGTCTACTGCACTTCCCAACACGTCTCCACCCCATCCGCAAGCCTGAAAAATAACAAATCCTACACACAACAACATGCTTATTTTCGCTTCAACCTCTCTATTAAGGTGCGTCCACACGTGTCAATTCTATTACCGGCTCTGCTCGAATGCCATACATCGACCTTTCCTCACATTAACAACAAAATATACACGTGTGTCCACAACTCAAATTTTATATTACTTCAAAACTATTTCATAAAATTTCAACACTTACCCACAGGTAGTGCTCTAATCCACCTACACTCTTTGGCCACCTCCTCCACCTGCAAAGAAAAAATCATCAAACATTAACACCTTTCAGTCACTTTACTGTCAACACAAGTCGACATTTTACTCCACCATTTCTCATTACCACTTTTTAGGGGCAAGGGGATGTGGCACCCCTCCCTTAATCCTGAGCAACGTGAAGCGCCTACACCGCCCAACTAGGCACCATGCCAACTTCACGCTTGCCTTTATGTCTCATTAGTCAAGTGACCACAAACCTCAAGGGCCATGGGATTTTCGGGTCGAGGGCATACAACCCCAAAGACTTTCTGACCAACTTACTGGAACCTCCAACAACTTGCCCCCAATACGAATTCGCAACTTTCGATTTACAACAGGTATCTACTTTACCACTACGTCAACAGGGACGTCTAGGAAGTGTGTCCAAACCACTTTCCACCGGCCCGGGTTTCCAATCCGTCACGTCTCGCTTGCGAGACGAGACCGGTACCGCTGGCACACCCCCGCTTGGTCCAATGTGCAAATCTATTACAAATAGACTAGTCACTCCTTCCATTTTTAACGCCGCCATATTGCGTCCGTCCACCGCCACACACCAACCTGCAAAAAAACCACTCGTTACCCTCTACTTTCAAATAAACTCAATTTATCTATAACCATTTACATTTCCTTTTAATGTACACCCGAGGCAGACAACGTCTCAAACTACAATTTAAACTTAACATGACCAAACTCGAGCCACAAACTAACTTCAACACAATGCTTCATTTAACTTTCAAGTACTCTACGGCAACAAATCATTTTAAAATTTCATAACATTTATTTTAGAAACTATCAAATAACAATGTCACTTACCCATCAGTATTCCCCTAGTCTACCTCAAAGTAATAACATTACCTGCTCCTTCCACCTCCAACAACAACCTGAAAACAAAACAATTATTATAACCCGACATTTAAACAATTATCAATACAAATATATTAGCCATGAACCACTTATCAATTTTCATATTATACCTACGAGCTGGACCTTAACTTTAGTCAAATACAATTACAGTAACAGCAACACCTTCCATTTTAAATACCGAATTCACGCTCCACCTCAAACCTTCTGCCACGTTTTCTTCTTTATTCCACAATATAAGCCATTAGTCTTCCGTACACACACCTACCACCTGCAATAAAACTCGGTAAATTTCACTTTGTCAAAACCCAACATCAAATTACAATTATTTCACACGCCATATTAAACAAATCATTTACTCCAACAGTACTTACGACTCAACCTGCAAACTTACTTACATTTCAAAGTGCCAATTCAAAACTGCTGAAACCAAACCATATACACAACACAAATAGTCAACCTCTAATCAGCCTAACAATGTCCAAAAATTAACTTAACCCTAACGGCCACCTCACCTAGCCTAGCCTATATCTACGACAACTTCATATTCCCGTAAACACAACCTTAAGTGTAGTACCATTATATAACCTCCAGTATATAACAGCACAAACACAACACCAGTCACAAATTTCCCTCGCCTCACCTCTACCTAAACTCTAACTCTGGGTCTACCTCGGTGCCGGTCACACCCACGGTCCGTCATCCACTCCGCTGCAAAAATCAACCTATTCCCGCGCTAGTTCGCTCCAACT